TGAGGATACGGTGGTTCTTCGACCGACTCACGATTTTCTTGTCAAAGTTATGTCAGAATTTAATTTAACTGGGAAATGGTCCTCCCATCTTTTTCATCCAAGTACCTGTCACCAGACTCTCAACAGTGGGAGAGGCTGTACCTGGTCAAGCTCCTATTGGTGTATCAAAAGATCTGGGGACTTTAGAAAAAAGGAATATATGTCTTCCCTTAGGATCCAAGGAAAGGGAAAGTGGCAAGAACGATTTCATCATGGATAGTTATAACCAGGTTCAGGTGGCATATACAGCACCTGGGCTTCCTTCCCCTTTAGTTCTTACAGCTCATTCATCTGGAGGGATGGCGGCATACTGGGTCACGTACGCTAGTTTCCCCAGATATGGTATGAAAGGCAGTGTGATGGAGGTTGGCAAATACGTTTATTTGTCATAACCGTCTAGATGTCTCTTCTTTGGCTAATGCAAATGCAGTTGTCTCTGCAGGTCTTCACCATGATTAAATTTAGCTTGTAAGCTATTGTTGGTATGTTATCTCAGTATGGTATCTTGTCTTTTTTTTCTCTCATCCACTTGTTGCTAGTTTTATCCCATAGGTATGGTGAAATTAGAAAATTGTTATCTTATACTTCCGTAATTTTCCTTTCCTGGCATTTCCTCCTGTCAGCATAATTTGCCCTCCCTGAAATGTCCTTTTGTGAGTCAGAGAGAAACATGAAAGGGGGGCTTCGCACATCTTTTTTTTGGCTCGGAAAGGGTTGTCCTGGGCAAGGTCAACCCTTTCCCAATAATTTTTTTCATATATCTTGTTTGTGAATATATATTAAAGTGGTACTAAACGCAATTTTTTTTACATTAATCTACTGCTAGCAAGCAGTATAGCTTTCCTCTAACATTTAGAAAAGCTGTAGTGTGCCCAAACATTTAAAAATCTACCTGTGCTTGTGCCGCTTGTTCCTGGCTGCAAAGCACAGCTTCCCAAATGTCCACGTAACAGATGAGGTGTGCTGGCGCATGCACACTTGATGTTACCTGAGGGGAGAGGAGGAGTAAGACAATATGAGTAAATGTACACATGCCGGGAGCGCACACTGAAAGAAGGAGACGCCGAAGCATCAGAGATTCCTTAGGTCCGTCACTGGCTCCAAGCTTACTCCCAGGATGGTCTACAATCTCAATACAAATTAGTAAATTAGTAAACTAAACATGAGATTGTAGTCCATCACAGGAACAAGTATGGAGCAGTGGCTACTTTACAACATACACAGGGGCTATGGGGAACAAAATTAGCCACCCTCCAGAAGGAAGGACAGTGTCAGCACCAATTCAGAGAGAGGGTACCAAGAGACTGGCGGAGGGCTACGGTAGTACCAATTTTCAAAAAAGGGTCAAGATGCCAACCAGGGAACTACAGACCAGTCAGTCTAACATCAGTAGTATGCACACTGTTTGAGGGAATGATAAAGGACTATTTAGTGGATTTTGTTCATGACAATGGTATAATAAATAATAATCAGCACAGAGTTTGGAAGGACCGTTCATGTCAGACCAACTTACTAACATTCTATGAAGAAGTAAGAAGAGATCTGGATGGAAGGAGGCTGGTGGATTTGGTATACCTGGATTTTTCAAAAGCATTTGACACGGTACCACATAAACGCTTAATACAGAAGCTGAGGTCTATGGGCATAGATGAAATGTTGTGTACATGGATAGAGAACTGGCTACAGGAACGTGTCCAGAGAGTATTGATAAATGGCTCCTTTTCACGTAGGTCTAAGGTCGAGAGAGGCGTGCTCCAGGGTTCTGTGCTAGGTCCCAAACTGTTTAACCTGTTTATTAATGATATCGGGAAGGTGTTAATAGCTAAGTTTCTGTGTTTGCTGATGACACCAAAATTGGGAGGGTAATATACACGGACTTGGACAGTAGAACAATACAGGAGGACCTGGATAAAATAGGGGAGTGGGCAACTATATGGCCGATGAGGTTTAATGTCGATAAATATAAAGTAATGCATTTTGAGGTTAAAAATAGGCAAGAGGAATACACATTAATGGGTACTCCACTAGGGAAGTCAGAAATGGAAAAAGATCTGGGGGTCATAGTAGACCACAGATTGAATAATAGCCTGCAATGCCAGGCTGCGGCAAACAAAGTGAGCAGAGTTATGTCTTGTATTAAAAAGGAATGCACTGTAGGGACAAATCTATAATTTTGCCACGATATAGATCACTAGTTCGACCTCATCTGGAGTATGGGTTTCAGTTTTGGTCACCAATACACAGAAAAGATGTACTTGAGCTGGAGAGAGTCCAGAGAAGGGCAACCAAATTAATTAAGGGGCTTGAGGACCAAAGCAATGAGACAAGGTTACTAAATTTAAACATGTTCACGTTGGAAGTGAGGAGATTAAGTGGGGACATGATTTTGATGTACAAGATGTTCAATGGTGATGGCAACATCGGCAATAAACGTTTTACAGTAAACTCCATAACAAAGACTAGAGGCCACCACCTAAAACTGGTAGAGAAAAGATTTAACCACAAGGGGCGTAGGGACTTTTTTTCAGTTAGAGCGGTTAAAGTCTGGAACTCTCTGCCGCAAGCAGTGTGGTATCAGTTGGGAGTATTGAATCATTCAAAAATCATTTAGATACCTTCCTCAGAGACCGTAACATACAAGGGTACAGGTATACTTCAAAACAAGATCACACGGGGACTCGTATACACACACACACACATGCAAAATCACATACAGACACACAAAGGTTGAACTTCATGGACCTGTGTCTTTATTCAACCTCAAATACTTTGAAACTATTTGAGGATCTACAGCCGAGTGACACACAAATAAGATCCATTTTTGTTAATAGTTAGGGTACTTGAATGCATTTTTAAGATTTAACTCCTGAGTTTACTGTCACTTTTGGCTGGGTTCACACCTAGGCGTATCGAATATGCACGTTTGTCGCGCGCTTTAAAACGCCCTGGTGGGAACCATGCCCATAGGCAATTATCGGTTTTCACATGTTGAGCGTTTTACAGAGCGTAGGAACGCGCTGTAAAACGCCCAGGTGTGAACCAGGCCTCAGAGCTTGTTCACACCAAATGCAGACCAAATCTGCATGAGTTTCTGCACACGCAGTGCAGTGGGTTGTTTTTTATGCGTTCCGGGACGTTTTTGGTAAAAAAATAAATGTAACATTTCTTTTTGTTTGTTGTTGTTTAAAATGGGCTTTCAGTGCGTTTTGCATGCGTCTTTGATGCGTTTGCATGCGTTCCAGAGCAGGTAAAAAAGGGCTTGCTGCAGTTTTTTTACATGCTCTGGAACTGAACGCTGTGGTGTGAACTAGAGCCCAAATACCATTGGAATACATTGGATGCAGTTTTGATCCGGTCTGTAACTGCTCTGCTCCTGGAACGCGTTTGGTGTGAACAAGGCCTTAGAGGAGAACTATGGGGTCAGGGCTTTTCCCCATAGTTCTCCTAAGGGTCATGGGAGGACACAAACTAGCTTCCTCCCGTCACCCTAGGCTCAGTATACCGCGAGATACAGCTCACGGTATACTGAGACCGCCGCAGCCGGGGCGGATCCAGACATTACTGTTGAGATCAAACCCAGCTGCGTGATTGACAGCTGGCTCTGCCTATCTAGAGGCAGAGCCAGCTGTACCCGCCCCCTCCCCTGTCTGTTCTGCCAGTCAGCGCTGGAGAATCGGACAGAGGAGGGGGGGAATCCCTGCAGGGAGCCATAAGTGACAGAATCTGCTTCTTTCTTCGGTTTGTTCAGTTAAGCTTTGAAAAAGAAAGATAATTGCTGATTGGTTGCCATAGGCAACTGCTCCAGTTTTAAAAATTCCCCTTGTATTTATGGATAAAAAAATATTAGGGGGTCTATTCACGAAACAGCCGAAGGATCTAGCCGTAGCTTCGGCCGATCCTTCGGCTAGCTTTGGCCCCAAGCTCTGCTCCTGGAACGCGTTTGGTGTGAACAAGGCCTTAGAGGAGAACTATGGGGTCAGGGCTTTTCCCCATAGTTCTCCTAAGGGTCATGGGAGGACACAAACTAGCTTCCTCCCGTCACCCTAGGCTCAGTATACCGCGAGATACAGCTCACGGTATACTGAGACCGCCGCAGCCGGGGCGGATCCAGACATTACTGTTGAGATCAAACCCAGCTGCGTGATTGACAGCTGGCTCTGCCTATCTAGAGGCAGAGCCAGCTGTACCCGCCCCCTCCCCTGTCTGTTCTGCCAGTCAGCGCTGGAGAATCGGACAGAGGAGGGGGGGAATCCCTGCAGGGAGCCATAAGTGACAGAATCTGCTTCTTTCTTCGGTTTGTTCAGTTAAGCTTTGAAAAAGAAAGATAATTGCTGATTGGTTGCCATAGGCAACTGCTCCAGTTTTAAAAATTCCCCTTGTATTTATGGATAAAAAAATATTAGGGGGTCTATTCACGAAACAGCCGAAGGATCTAGCCGTAGCTTCGGCCGATCCTTCGGCTAGCTTTGGCCCCAGGACCCCTTCGGTTCAGTAGAACCGAAGGGCTGCTGAATGTGCTATTCACTATAGCCCGTACCAGCCTGAAGTGAATAGCCGAACAGCGTTCGGCTCACTTCGCTTCAGGTCGGTCGTTCACTCGGCTGCCTACGGCAGCTTAGTGAATAGACCCCTAGGTGTTAAATGGCTGCTGTGTCCAGCGAGAGATCCCCCTCTGTTTATACAGCAGATGGGAAGTCACATAGCGCCAGTACAGGACCCGGACGATCCCAGTAAAGCACTAGTGGCTACTACAGTGTATTTTACGAGAGCTCCGGTACCAGATATAAAATATGTACACTTACATTAGGCAAAGCTGGAGGAATGTAAGCATATATAAATATTCTACCTGCAGTTTATTTTATGACTCTCTATTAAGCTGTGAGAAGAATTAAGGGCGCTCTCAGCACATGCCCAGACGGTTAGTTTGGGTAGAACACCACATGTCGCCTCCCTGGCTTCCATCCCCACGCCATTTTGAACGTTGGGCTCCGATGTGAACTATACTTCCCGTCACCACCCGGGAAATGCGCAGATCGCAGGGAGGCGATGGTGAGCCGAGTCTCCAAGATGGCCACTTGGGGAAGGAGGCGCGCTGGTTTGGGGAGACGAGATAGGTGAGCCGGAGAACGATGTAGGATGTGCGGTTTTTGTTTTCCATTACCGCCTCACATGCAGATTGGAAGAGGCGCTCAGGCCATAACATATTGTACATGAGTGCGGAGGCCGTACAAGGCCCGGGGTCAGTACAGGAGCCGCGGCGGGGGCCCAGGTCACCCCACACGTGGGAGGGGACTCGGCAGGCGATGGACACATTTTGCTTGGCCCCGGCTGGCATGCAGGATCCGTGCATTATGCCAGGGGGGAACGGCACTTTGATTAGCTCCCCCTCCCCTCTCCCTATGTCTTACGTTGTGAGTACATGTTTCATGTTCGTATGACGAAATCAAAGCAGTCTAAAGTTGTTAGGTGGCTGCATGTAATTAATTGTTCTTAGTGGTGTCTCTGTGTGACTGGACATACAAAATGCGCGTGACAGGATTGTGATCATGGGTGAAGTGCACATCCATTACTGACACCGGAGAGCTGTAAAATAAGCCATCAGTAGTTTGGAAACTAGATGAAAAGTTTCTCCTGTATTAGGGACATGGGTAGACTTGGTGTGAACCAATTTAGTCCAAGTCTGCGCAAAACTTTTTGTGACGCGCCCTCTTCCTGGCCCAAACAGCTGCGGCTGAGGTGTTTCCTGCCGCCATTAGAAATCATGGTGCCCCCACACACACAGTGCCCCGCCGTGAGTCAATCACGGTTTTGTGTGATGAATGCACTCTTACCGTGCAACTCACCTGCCATGTGCTACAGTGCAGCAGTTGCATTGCGTTACCATTCATTTCAATGGCATCCCAGTGCGCTTGACCGCTCCGCAACACACAGTAACACAATATTGTGCCGCAGCAAAAAAAAAAAAAAAAGTAGTACACTGGGGCCCATTCATTCCAGTAGGGCTGGCTGTACACCCCTATTGGCGGCTCTGCCTACACATAACAAAGAGACAGGGAATGCCATGACTACAGCTGGGTAGGCTGGGAGGGGGATGTGTCACTGACCGTTTTGCACGGGCTCGGGCCAACTCTGTTTACACTAAGCCCATTGACATCCTTATTCATTACATTTGTGGTGTAAATATTGGCATATTTTCCATGTGCCAAACTAGGACAAGTTCTATGTGGTACTGTGCCAAATCACGCATATAAATGTCCAGGCGTGTGCACCAAAATAATGAAGCACTTGCACCAATGTTCAAATTTAAAAACTATTCTAAAATGTCTACCATCACAAGAGCGGTGTAAATACTGCAGTGAGGACATGTGACGCCGACAATCATATTGCAGCGAGGACAAGGGGAAGGTGTACACATGGCCAGCGAGGTGCAGCAATACAGGAAGGAGAAGAGAAAATTTAGGATAACAAAATATTACCTCAGATCTGCATCAAAATGTCTTAAACATGTTAAATCTGGTGCCCCATCACCATGTGACAGATGAACACATTTCTATGTGCCACTCTTCTTCATTTGCTGCGGGAATTAGGCAGCCACATAGAAATTGCTGTATTTTTAGCATGTGCGCTTTTCTTACCTCCCCCAGTATGTTTTTGAACAGGAACTTCTGGCCTGGGAAGCAAATATAACACGGTGCCATGGTAATAGGTGGCCATGGTGAAATGTGGGTGTCAAGAACATGGTTTATATGTACATGCTAAAAGGGGGATTGTAAACAAGGAAGCCACTTACAAGATGACTTCTCCGGAAATATGGACTCCTCGAAAAATGGCATTCCATTCATACAAATAATCTATCATTCAGCTTCCTTTTACAGATAAACACCATTCAGTTTTGCTTTACCTGCTTTGCAGCGCTCTGCATTTGGTGACATAAAATCTCAGAGCTGCAAAGGAGGTGGATGCAGGACGACTTCCCTCTGTGCTGACAGGGAGGAACATAAAGCATATCGCTCTATAACAGTCAGCTGACTGAAGCCTAAGGGCTAGTTCACACCAAGCGCGGAGCAGGTCCAGAGCAAAGCAGTTGCAGACCGGATCAAAACTGCGTCCAATGTATTCCAATGGTATTTTTAGCTCCAGTTCACATCGCAGCGTGCAGATCCAGAGCAGGTAAAAAAACTGCAGCAGGACCTATTTTACCTGCTCTGGATCTGCAAATGCATCAAAACCGCATGCAAATGCCTGGGGCGCACTGAAAGCCCATGTAAAAAAAAAAAAATATTTAGCCCAAAACGCATCTAAAAGACTAACGTGCGTGTGCAGAAACCTGACCGGATCTGCTCTGCATTTGGTGTGAACAAGGCCTAAGGCTGGGCACACACCTTACAACCATCGCAAGACTTTTGTCTTGCGATGGTTGTAAGGTACTTAAAAAAACGTACGATCTGCCTATCTTGCATAGGCAGACTTTTGTCTTGCGATGGTTGTAAGGTACTTAAAAAAACGTACGATCTGCCTATCTTGCATAGGCAGATCGTACTTGCGATGATCGCAAGTCACGCCCCCCTGAGGGGCGGGCTTCCGATGACCGCAATGCCGAACGGAGAGTGTGCGCTTGCGCACAGCGGCCCGTCCGGCTTTTATCTTATGAACATGCTACACACCCGCCGAACATCGTACGATGCTCGGCGGGTTTTCAAACATGTTCGTAAGTTTAAAGTCGTGCGACCTTACAGTAGTAGAGGTCGCACGGCTTCCACACACCTTACGATAATCGTACGATCGCGGGATTTCCCGCAATTATCGTACGATTATCGTAAGGTGTGTGGGGACCTTAAGGCTCCCTTCACACAGGCAGTCCGATTGGGTCCGCCTGTCAGTCTTTTCAAAGCGGACCCAATTGGTCTATGGGCAGCGTGTGTGTGCTGGGCGTTCGCTTACACCCGGTTACCCCCGACTCCGGTGAGGTCCCTAAAAACATACAGATCAGAGATCC